CTGATTGTTGGTTCAGTCTCTGTGGACCCCTACAAGCCCAGATGAGTTGATTCTGTGGGCCGTTTTCTTGTGTCCCTGACCCCTCTGGTTTTTACAGTCCTTCCTCCTCTTCCACAGAATTCCTCAAGCTCTGACTAATGTTTGGTCATGAGTCTCTGCATTGGCTTCCATTGGTTGCTGGATGAAGCCTCTTTAATGACAATTATACTAGGCTCTGGTCTACAATTATCAGTTTTGTTCTTAGTTCAAGACTGCTTCACTATTCAGTCTTTTGTGATTCCACTTGAAATTTTATTGCATATATTTTTATTGGTAGAAAATAGCTCAAATAAATGTCTGATACCTATTTCTGTTGTACTTGGAAGTTTAACCATCATAATATTTTATGTAATGTATTATTATCTATTTGTGAGATACCAAAAACTGTAGATTTTTTTTGTGTCATGCTGCGTGTAGCTGCAATACCTCATTAAATTCAAATGATCCCAATATCTCTCTCTCTACCTTTGCCCTCAAGTTTCTTACAATGTGAATTCTTTAGCAATGCTTATGTTTAAGAGAATTTTTAACATTATATTAAATATATATTAAATATATTTTTCTATGAAAAACTTGACACAGGCATTCATCAATGTAATTTAGTGAACTATATTTAGTAAACTTTGTGTTATTGAACACTTTTTTGTATTTCTTTTTTTTTGGTTCATATTTTTTAAATATGCTTTTAGTTGAAATAGAATTACACTCCCTTACATCCTATACCCCTTTTCTCCTTTTAGCCTCTCCAAGGTACCCTCCCTCAAATCCCTTTTAAAACCCCCAACTATCAAGTTGATAACCCTTTTCTTGGATTATTATTCTTGTGTGCCTCCATATGTATATACGATATATATGTGCATGCACAAATATATAGAATTATAACTGACTGAGTCATATTTTGTTGTTCGTGTATATAGTTTCAGGACTGACTATTCTCCATTGGACAGCCAATCCTGAGGAGAGGCTAATTTTCCTTTCAGTTGTTAGTTGCCTGTAGTTCTTTGTATATAGAGGTGGGGCCCTCTGAAACTTCCTCCTTCCATGTTAACATGTCCATTGATATTGTCATTGTTCTAATCTTGTTTATGTAGCCATTTCTAGAAGAGACTGTATCACAGCAGACTCCCTGGTATTCTGATTCTTAACAACAATCTTTCCCCTTCTTTCTTCCTTGATGTCCCTTGACCCATAGATGAAGGAGATATAACATAGAAGTATCCACTGGGACTAGGTTCCCCGTGAACGGTTGATCTGTGTATTTGTCCAGTTGTGGATTTCTGTAATAGCCTTCATTTGCTATAAAGAAAGGCTTCTTTGGTAAGGAGTGATAGCTATACTTATCTGTAGATATAAGGATAAGATTCAGATTGTAGTTAGGAATTAATGCTGGTCTAGTGAAATAGTATAGTAGGTATTTTTCTAAGGTCCATAACATTACTAGTCCCAGGCATGGTCCCAGGTACTAGATTTCCAGTACCAGGCATGACTTCTCTTCTGTTGAATGGGCCTTAGGTCCAATTAGACCGTTGTTGGTTGCCATCAACACGAGTGCCATTTCTTGCATCTTTATGCATATCTTGCCATGCTGGTAATTGTCCTGTTTCATAGGTTTTACAGCTGGATAGGTGTTTAATTGCTTCCCTTGACAACTTACATAGTATTTCTGGAATCATGGAAGTTGAATTCCAGGAAGGAGGCTTTTGTAAGTGAGGGCACGTTGAAACTATCAAACTGGATTGCTCCATGGGTGCCTTTGAAAGAAAATGTTTATTGTAAATCTGGAGGAGAAAATAGCCAGAAGCATCTGCAGAAGTCTAAAGCTGCTATGGCTACCTCTTGGGTACAGAGAGAGGAGCAAAGTAGTCATGGCTGGGGCTGTCTCTTACAAGCAGAAAGAAGAGCAGGGCAAGAAAGAACCTCATCTAAAGGGAACAGGTAATTGGAGGGAGGGAGCTGGAACAACCTGGGGAGTTTAGACTAGAAGAGCCCAGTGGCTTTGGTATATACTATAGGTACATGTCAGTAGGGGAGAAAGGAGCCTGGAGGTTAGCTTGGGCTTGGATATGCACCTCAGGTACCTGTCAATAGGGAACCAGATGCCTCATCTGCCAGAGGCAAGGGGAGATAGGGAAGTGGCTCTTCTTGGCATACAGAAACCAGTTTTACAGGTCTCTGAGGAGTGCTGAGAATAAACTTTCATCTATCCACCAGCAATCCTTTTGTTTACCTTGCTAGCCTTCAGCCCCAGTTAAGCACAGACAGTCATTTGGGACATATGCACTGCCTTTTAAAATGATAGGGGTTCCCTTTGGACCTAAGAGCTTTCAGCTTACATCCAGATTGAATCATTCAAGTTCTGTGTCCTAAGTGTACTGTGTCTTCAGCAATACGTAGCTTACCTTAAATCCCTGAGAGGTAACCAAGGGCTTCATTGATAATCTATATTGTTTTAGCAGTCACAAGGACTACCCTGGCCAACCATTTGAAAGAAGGTTTCTCATGTCTGATACTGGTGTTTTTGTTAGTTTATAGTTCTTGTGGGGAGCATTGTGAGCCCAAGTGACTTAACTTCACATGCACTTATGTATTGTATACAATTTTAGGTAGCAACAGCACATTTTAATGTGTTTAATTACACCATTTTAAAAAATGAGACAATGAGACACTTTTTGTTTTGTTGTTAAGACAAGGTTCCACTATGTGGCCCAGACTGGCCTTAACTCATTACTCTATCTCTGCCTCCTTGGGATCACAGGTGTTTCCCATAATATGTGGCAAGATACTACTTTTTATGTATTAAATATATTAAAATTAAATGTTAAATATTATAGGTAAATATAATCTTCAATGTTGAATTACTGGAAAAAAATTTCTCATTATTTATCTTGAGTCTTAAGCATGTTCATATCCTAAAATATGTGTGCATATGAGTTTGTATGTGTGTGTGTGTGCATGTACGTGTTGTTAGAAATTAAGCCCAGGTTCTTATGCAAACAATCTGCCACTAAACTATACATGTTTTTTGTTTGCTTGTTTGTTTTATCTGAGCAAGGTGTCATTTATAGAGCTTCTGTTGGATTTGAATTTAAGATATTCCTGTCTCTTTCTTCTAAGTATTAGAATACAGGCATGCTCTGTTAGTTCTGGCAAAAGAATTGCTTTTAAATACATTAAAGAATTTTTATTTATGATTATTCATTTTCTCATTATTTGTATAAGAAAGCTTGGAACAGGAGAATGTTGTGTATTTGAGTAAATTACATGTACTCATTTTGTATGAATAACTGTTTTAAGCTTTTGAAAAATCACGTTCCATTACAAAATGGTGAGAGTAATTGAGAAGTGTGAACTGCATGGAGAAGGATCCTTCATGTAATATATACATGTGTGAGGAATTAGATTCAAGAAATACCAATATGTTTGTTATCATTTGTTGAACACAATTGCTGATTTGTGTGGAAATACTCTCTCTGTATTTGTTTGCAGTTTTCAGTGAACTCTTTTAGTCAGGACAAAAAAAAAGTCATAGCCCCTTTCCTTATCCCAGCAGCTCCTGACTGGATGCCTGGAGTCTGATGTGTTTATCAGGAGGAAGAATTTCATCTTTTATTGCATAGGTACAGATAACGATGCACTAGAAGGTCACTCAGAGTGCTCATCCATATCAAAATGCTATACATCAGTGTCTGCTTGAAAGCAAGTCCTTTGTCCGTAGAAGAGAGAGACATGTCAGGGCATCCAAAGAGAGAAAACAAACAAAAGACTGTGAGGGTAGGAGAAGGCCATTGTGACCAGCTTTATAATTTTTGTTTTTGTTTTTATTTTTCAAGACAGGGTTTCTCTGTGTATCCCTGACTGCTCTGGAACTCAATTTGTAGACCAGGCTGGCCTCAAAGTCAGAAATCTGTCTGCCTCTGCTTTCTGAGTGCTGGGTTTAAAGTTGTGCACCAACACTGCCCAACCATAATTTTCTATAGGACTATCAATATGCACTTTCAGCCTTGCTCAGACATTTCTGTCCTGATACTGTGTGGAGAAACAACTTATTGCTGCATTGCCACAATTGTCTGAAGCTTGTAATTTGCTTCCATGCAAAATCTTAAGCCCCTTCTAGTGCAAGAAACAACCTCTAACAAAAAGGAGTCTCCAGTTTCTGGGAAAAGAGTTATTACTACTAAATAATAATCTTTTATTGTGTACTAATAATATTGATAATACTTTGTTGTGTTCTGCTCTTTCTTTTAAATGGATGACTAACTTTTTCATTTACAGTCACCAGAAAAGAGGAAAAGAATATTTCTTACACAGGCTTTCCCAGGATATACATTAAACTGTGACCAGTTTACTTCTGTGATAGGTATACAAAACAGAAGCCACGTGAATCCTCTTTTGAAGGAAAGCATGGATATAAAATGGAATTAACTAGCGTCATTACAACATTACTTGCTAGCTTTACATTCATTTGTGACTATTTGGTACTGGGGAAGTTGTTCAGATTCATTCTGGCAACCTGAGTCTGACACCCAACAAAGAGTAGCCACACAGCAATGAATATGGGAGAAAATTAGCAAATTCTATGCACACACATCTCTTTGTAACCTTTTTACCCTGTGAGTTTACTTGTTTATCTTGCAGTAAGTTCATTTGTCAGTCATACCTTTTAAGTCCTATTTATTTTTCAAGACAAGTATGAAGCTCTTCAATGACAGGTTGCCCTAAGTGTCAATGTATAGAGACAGGATGGCCTTTTGACTGTTATGTTTTCACTTATGTACTCAAATAAGCATCTGAACACTCTAAAATGGATATTATATTAAAGATGATAGATTTGGAAAACTATTACTTCTCATAGATTTTCAAAGAAAATCTGCTATACTCTTGATGGAGGCAGTTAGTTGGAAATTCCAACTGCCTATCCTTTAGATTTTTCTTAGCAGGCTTCTGTACTTAGTAGCAGCTGATTGGCTGTTACCAAAGTTAAGAAGACTGTTAAGGTAGTCAACTGTAAAAACTCAGCTAAGGCAGTCAACTGTGAAAACTCAGCTCTTGATAGTTGGATCTTTAATCTACAGAAGAAACAAGGCTAAAATGTAAACAACAAAACAAAAGACAAGGGAGACATACAATTAAAGGTAAATATAGTAATGAATACTAAAATAAGCTTCCTGCAATAATATTAATCGATGTAATCACTTTTCTGTGACAATCAAATAGCTACAAATGAGACAAATGGGGAGGAGATAGGCTTGTTCTTTGGTTGAATTCACAATGTTTGTTGTCACAGACAAGAAACACCTCAAACACACTGTCTCAGACAGTTGTGTAAATTCAATTCTTGATACTGTCTCTGCAGTCTACAGTGTAGACTCTACACAGAAGAAACAGGAGTAAAATGTAAAAAGGAAAGGCAACCAGGGAGGAATTAGAGGTAATTATTATAATAATGAATATTAAAATAAGCTCCCTGCTATAATATTAATTTAGTGTAATCACTTTTCTATGACAATGGAAGAGTTACAAATGAACTGGATGGGGAGAAGGTAGGATCCATCTTTGATACAATTTGCAGTGTTTGATACCAGAGAAGAGGGAAATTCCAAATGTCTGGTTTGTCGAAGACAGCTATATAAAGCCCATAATAATTAAAGTTGTCTAACTGTTGTCAGTTTAACTGTTAAGTGAGTTGGAAAAAAAATAAAAAGACATTGCCATTTATCATTGTGTAGCTTCCAAGTTGACTCTGACTAGTAAAAAAGATAGTATAATTGTCTGATAAGATGAAACATCTGAATTTAATAAATTGAAATTTATGTAACTGAAGAAAGAAGTTGTAGAGGTAATCAAATACTTCACTGTAAAGAAGCTATCAGATATAACAAGCACAGACAGTGTAGAATAACTGTGATATTAGTCTGAATTAATATTAATAGTAATATTCAGTATTGATATTAATACTGAATAAAATGTGAACTTAGAGAAACAGCTTACTGAAAAAAATTTTAATTGTTCAAGATTCACTCAAACCAAAATTTCTCTAGATACGAAGTTCCAGTTGGAAAAATGAATATCAACATAAGAAAAAAGGTTATATTGATGGTAAAATGAGATAAAGATATGTGTTACCAGTTTAATGATAGGTTAAATATAATAATTCCTGATACACTTGAATTTTTTTATTTTGTGGCATCTTCATGTGTTGACTGAATTTGTTAAGTCCAAAGATCTCGTTTCTAAGCTAATCTGGTACTAGGTAGTAATGATCTTTAACATGCTTTTATTAGTTACTTTTTTATTACTGTGATAAAATGCCATTGCAAACATCTTACAGAAGAGAGTGTATTTGGGCTTCTGGTTCCAGAGGGTTATACTCTATGATGGCAGAGCAAAACCATAGGGCAAGAGCAGGAAGCTGAGGGCTCATATCTTGACCTGCAAGTATAAAAGGGAAAGATGGAACTCTCAAAGCCTGCCTTGAGTGACATACTTCCTCCAACAAAGGTGATACCTCATAAGCCTCCTAAACAGTGCCATCAGTTGAGGACCAAGTGTTCAAATGTCTGTGACTATAAGGGGCAAATCATCCAAACCACCATGGACCCTAAAGTTCATTCTGTCACTAAACTAAAAGAGTATGTAAATAATCTTGAATCCTGAAAACAGGGGTATGCATTTAGTAACAGAGCCATAGGGAACCTGAGACCAATTCTGCTGTGTCTCCTTTGAATTAACTCTCTCAAATCTCTTTCCTCCCTGTGTGTTTAAAATCTTTCACAGTAAGTTCTTAGTTCTTTGGTCAAAGATAAACCATAGCCTAATCCAATAAAATTAAATTAGCTATTTTATGCCTACTTAATAAAAGGAATTAGAGAAGTATTGAGGATAACAATAATATAGGTCAACCAAACTGGAGACCTAGAGTATAATGCATTTCTGTTAAACTAATGAGAAAAGCTTATGGGTTCTAATGGTGTTATATCATTTAATTTGAATGTTTAGGTAAATAATACAAGATTTTGATAAGAATATTGTTTTCTAAATTAAACAATGACCATATCTCAACGCTCAAATTATTCTTACAAAAAATATAATTGAGCAAGCACCATGATGGTATACTTTATCATGCTAGTTGTTTCCTCTTCCCTGTGACAACTTGTTTCTTAAGGTGACTGAAAGCGTGAATTTTTTTTAATTGAAAAAAAATGTTTTCATACAAAATAGTATGATCACAGTTTCCCCTCCCCCAACTTCTCTTTAATCCTCAATTCCCCACCCAACTCCATGCCCTTTTAGACTCTCTCCCTTTAAAATTCAGACAAGTAAATGAAAGAGAAAAAAACACAAGAAACACAAATACACAAAGCCATAAAATCCCCAAATTGGAAACTATAACATATAAGCCAAAGCCAGTAGCACCAAAAAACAAACAAACAAACAAACAAACAAACAAAAAAAGCCCAAAATTTCTAAACAAAGCAATTTGAGATCAAAAGGCCACAAAAATGCCATTGAGTTTGTTTTGTTTTGTGTTGGCCATCTACTACTAAGCATAGAACCTAACCTTAAGTTTGGTTAATATACCCAGTGAGACTCCATTGAAGGAAACTAATTTTTCCTTTGCAAGCTGATGTCAATGGGCGATAGCTTTTTGGTTAGGGATGGCAGACCATGTCCTCTTCCCTCCTTCACACTGTGATCCCATCTGGCTTAAACCTGTCCAGCTCCTGGGCATGCTACCTAATCTCTGTGAGTTCATATGTGGATCAGTTGTGTTGTGTCTGGAAGACACTGCTTGGAATCATCCATCCATTCTAGCTCTTAAAATCTTTCTACCTCCTCTTTTGCAGAGCTCCCTGATCCCCAAGGGGAGTGTTTGATGAAGACATCCCATTTAGGACTGAATATTCCAAAATCTCTCACTCTTGGTGCATTGTCTAGTTGTGGGTCTCTGTGTTAGTTCCCATCTATTGCAAGAAAAAGTTTCTCTGATGATGACTGAGTGAAGTACTGATCTATGGGTATATCACAATATTGATAGGAGTCATTTTATTGTTACGTTCCTTTAGCAGAACAATATTATTTGGTTTTACGGTAGGCCTATGACCTATCTAGTCTCAGGCTCTTGGCAAGCTGAGCAGTGTTAGAGTTCCATCTCATGGAGTAGGCTTTAAATCCAATCAGAAAAGTGATCATCCAGGCAGATCACCTTTGTAGATCACAGAGTTTGTAGCTGGATTTGTGGTTACCTTTTTCTACTGGTAGCTTGATAAGTACCTTTCAGTACCATGAACTCTAGAGAGTAGGGGTAAAATCTCTAGTTAGGATCAGCTCAGTATATCTGTAGTCACTGAGATATGTAAGCATTGTCTTCAACAATAGGGCCTTGCCATTAATTTGTGGAGAACAAATAATACATGAATTTTTCAATTTTTCCAAGGTTGTTGTGATGGTGCATGCCTTTGATTCTGGCACAAGGAGGCAGAGGCAAGTGGATCTCTGTGGGTTGAAAAACAGACTGGTATCCATAGTGACTTGCAGGCCAGCACAGTGAGACCCTTTCTCTAAAAATAACCAAATAAAGAAAAAAATAGACCTTCCTGAAAATATAAAAATGGTAAATTCAAAATCCAATGGATATTTGAACATTTTGCCAATAAATATTTTTAAATAAGCAAAGCAGATTTTGAGGGAGGGAACACGCTAATTAGTTGAGACGTTATCAAGGGCCCTCCAGAGTCTGAGATTTTAGTCTACTTGAAGTTGTCAAGTCAGGCTTATACCTGTTTTCTTGGATCCTGGCAATAGAAATGAAATTCCTAGGTTAGAGACAAAAGGTATCATTGCTCACAGAGAGAAGCATAGCCATAGTATCAGCATGAAGCTTTTTCTAATTCCTTCACTCCCAAAGTCCAACAGCATTTCCTAGGGTTCCATAACAAAGTAGCATACACTGGGTAGATTAAGCAACAGAATGTTTTTTCACAATTCTGGGGGCCAGAAGCCTAAGGTCAAAGTGTTACCATGGTTGATTTCTACTGAAGTCCCTGAGAGAATAATCTAGTCTGGCCTCTCCCATGAGTTTATAGATGATTGTCTTGTCCCTGTCTTTGCTTTATCTCCTCTTTTTGTAACTCTGTGCCCAAGTTTACTCAGCTTTTAAGGATACTATACACTTTCAGTTAGAGCATCTTTCAATGACCTCATTCTCTAAATAGGATCTCATTCTAGGGGTTAGGACTTCAATATGTGAATTTTGTTATAACAGATACTTACACAGGTCATGAGATGCATCACAGGGGAAGAACACTAACATTAGGAGAATCATCATGGAAACTGGCCTGCTGTTGCAACTCCTTCACATCTTTTGGCAGCAAACACAACCCTGAGAAAAGCCCTGAATCAAGAGCACCAGAGACTTGCATTCTTACTATACTCAGCAAGAACATGCAAGGAAGGCTTGGGACCATGTAGACTTCATCTAAATCTAGGTATTCAAAATATTGTCAAAATAGTAAAAGAAAAAAAAAAAAGATTGTCAGTTTTATCATCCTTAGAGCATTTACTGATCTAGGCAGATTCTTGATCTGTATATCTTATACAGATCATATAGATCTTAATCTAATATCATGACTCTCACTTCTCCCACTGTTACTAATATTGAAGAAAATCCCAAGCCCCAACCTCTCTGTTTCTCACTATGACCATACTTTTACATATTTTAAATACACAGTAGGAGATAAATTAGAATGTAGTCATGTTGTGTGTCTATTTCAGGGATTTGTTGGTTGGCCAATTGTTAATTGGGTGCTGGGGATTAAATCCAGGGCTGTGTGCTTGCTAAGCAAGTACTCTACCTCCCTCTCTATCATCTGCTTTTTTCACATGATAAAAAAATAGTCTTAATTTGAAGAGATGCTTCCTTCACCTTTGTGTAGTTGTTTTTATGTCTAAAAATGCAAAATAATATTTTCAGAGTAACTGAATAGAAATAACTTATATTTATTCCAACAGATGGAATCACTGCTTATATATGTTATGATTTTACTTTTGAATGTGTTTGAATTTTCATCAGGAATTGTATATAATAAACGTAAGTATCAGACTCTTTTTCAGGAGTTCTTATTCATAACCTTTTCTCATTTACAGTTCAAATATTATCCATTTAATATTTTTTCTTGACAGTATTTTCCCATTGTTTTTATACAGTATCTATTTGTTATGGCCCAGGTGTATAGTATTGTCATTGTGAACCCATTATTACCAAGTTGTGTATTCCAACTTTTTTAAATAACATATTGTCACTTCTAAGTCATTGAATGTTCACCATTAACAGCAGATTAATCATGGCAAATACTTTATTATTTGAACAGATATAATTTTTTTCCTTGATGTATGAACTCTTAGGCTATCAAATTAAAAGGATAATTTCCTGAAAAAACAAATATATGGATAGAATTAGTTCACAAGTGAGTTACTTCACTCATACCCAGAGAGTCTTACCCCAGGACCCTTCCCTGGGACACAACCAGTCCCCAGGAACACCCACCCAACTTTGTCCCAGTTGCTAGCCAGCAGGCAAAACTCCTGCAGGAAGGCCCACACACACACCAAAATTCCCCCACCAGACCCTACAATCTGCATGCCCTGCCCCTATATCCATCTGCCTGAGTCCCCAGAAACTTCCAGAGGCACGGAAAGCAAACCACCAGCTCTCATTGGATCAAGAGTTGCTGGCCAGCAGGCAAAACTCCTGAAGGAAGGCCCCCCCAATGAAAACCTCCCACTGGATCTTGCAACCTACATGCCCTGCCCTCATACCCATTCGCCTGAGACCCCAGCAACTTCCTGAGGCACAGAAACCAAACCACCAGCTCTCATTGGACCAAGAGAGGAGGAGATGGGCAGACGTCAAAGCAAAAATACATATAATAACATAAAGAGCAATACAGCATCACCAGAACCTAGGCCTCTTTCAACAGCAAGACCTGAACATCACAATGTAGAAGAAGCAGAAGAAAGTAACCTTAAGAATAGCATCGTGAAGATGCTAGAGGCCGTTCAAGGAAAAATGAAGAATGAAATTGAGGAAAAGACGAACAAAAAATTGGAAGAAACCAATAAAGAAATAGAGGAAAAGACAATTAAACTTTGGAAGAAATTAATAAACCCTTAAAGAAAGCCAAGAAAACCACGAAAAAAGCAATTAAACATGTGAAGGAAACAGGTCAAGACCTGAAAAGGGAAATAGAAACAATGAAGAAGACACAGAGGAAATGCTGGAAATAGAAAATATGAGTAAACGAACAGGAAACACAGATGCAAGCATAACCAACAGAATACAAGAGATGGAAGAGAGAAGAATAACTGGTGTAGAGGATACAATAGAGGAAATATATTTGTCAAAGGAAATACCAAAGCCAAAAAAAGTCATAACACAAAACGTCCAGGAAATCTGGGACACCATGAAAAGGCCAAAGCTAAGAATAATAGGGATAAAAGGAGGAGAAGAATACCAACTCAAAGGCACATAAAATATATTCAACAAGATCATAGAAGAAGGCCGGGCGTTGGTGGCGCATGCCTTTAATCCCAGCACTTGGGAGGCAGAGCCAGGCGGATCTCTGTGAGTTCGAGGCCAGCCTGGGCTACCAAGTGAGCTCCAGGAAAGGCGCAAAGCTACACAGAGAAACCCTGTCTCGAAAAACCAAAAAAAAAAAAAAAAAAAAAGGATCATAGAAGAAAACTTGCCCAACTTAAAGAAGAAAATAACTATGAAGACGCAGGAAGTCTACAGAACACCAAACAGATTAAACGTCCCCCAGAAGTCCCGTTGCCACATAATAAACAACTAAACCTACAGAATGAAGAAAGAACATTAAGAGCAGCAAAGGAAAAAAGCCCAAGTGACTTATAAAGGCAAACCCATCAGAATAACACCTGACTTCTCAATGGAGACTTTGAAAGTCAGAAGGACCTAGACAGATATAATGGAGACCCTAAGAGACCATGGATGCCAGGCTAGAATAATATACTCAGCAAAACATTCAATCATCATAGACAGAGTGAACAAGACATTCCAAGACAAAAACCAGATTTAAACAATACCTATCCACAAATCCAGCCCTACAGAAAGCTCTAGAAGGAAAATTCCAACCTAAAGAATTCAGATACACCCACACAAACCAAGGCAATAGATAACCCCACAGCAGTAAATCCCAAAGAACAGAAATATACACATACTACCACCAAGAAAATAACATGAATTAACAATCACTGGTCATTAATATCCTTTAATATCAATGGAATTGATTCACCTATAAAAAGACACAAGCTAACAGAATGGATACAAAGGCAGGACCCATCTTTCTGCTGCATACAAGAAACACACCTCGATTTCAAAGATAGACAGTACCTCAGAATAAAAGGCTGGGAAAGGTCTTTCCAATCAAATGGTCTTAAGCAAGCTGGTGTAGCTATCCTAATATATGATAAAGTAGACCTCAAACTAAAATCAATCAAAAGAGGTCAAGAAGGACGTTACATACTCATCACAGGAAAGATTCACCAAGATGAAGTTTCAATTCAGAACATTTATGTTCCAAACACAAGGGCAGCCGTATATGTAAAAGAAATATCATTAAAGCTCAAATCACACATTAAACCCCACACATTAATAGTGGGAGACTTCAACAACCTACTCTCACCACTGGACAGATCTGCCAAATGGAAACTTAACAGAGAAATAATGGGTTTAACTGATGTTATGACTCAAATGGACTTAATTGATATATACAGAACATTCCACCCTAACAAAAAAGAATATACCTTCTTCTCAGCACCCCACGGAACCTTCTCAAAAAAATGACCACATACTCAGTCACAAAGCAAATCTAACACAACAAAAAAATTGGAATAACCTCCTGTATTCTATCAGACCACCATGGTTTAAAGTTAGACATCAACAACAATAAAAATTACAGAAAGCCTACAATCTCATGGAAACTGAATAATGCTCAACTTAATCACCAGTTGGTCAAGGAAGAAATAAAGAAATTAAAGACTTCCTAGAGATCAATGAAAATGAATATACTACATAACCAAACTTATGGGACACTATGAAAGCAGTGCTAAGAGGAAAATTCATACCACTAAATGCCCACATAAAGAAGTTGGAGAAATCTTACACTAGTGACTAAACAACACACTTGAAAGCTCTAGAACAAGGAGAAGCAAAGTCACCGAGGAGGATTAGAGGCCAGGAAATAATAAAATTGAGATATGAAATCAATAAAGTAGAAACAGAACAATACAAAGAGTTGGTTCTTTGAGAAAATCAACAAGATAGATAAGCCCTTATCCAGACTAGCCAGAAGGCAGAGAGAGCATCCAAATTAACACAATCAGAAATGAAAAGGGAGACATAACAACAGACATGGAGGGAATCCAGAGAATCATCAGGTCATACTTCAAAAACCTGTATTCCACAAAATTGGAAAATCTGAAAGAAATGGACAATTTTCTGGATAGGTACCACATACCTAAGTTAAATCAAGACCAGATAAACTATTTAAATAGACCAATAACCCCTAAAGAAATAGAAACAGTCATTAAAAGTCTCCCAACCAAAAAAATCCCAGGACCAGATGGTTTCAGCGCAGAATTCTACCAGATCTTCAAAGAAGAGTTAATACCAATACTCTTTAAGATTTTCCATACAATAGAAACAGAAGGAATGTTACAAAACTCCTTCTATAAGGCTACAGTTACTCTGATTCCCAAGCAAAACAAAGATGCAACAGACCAATTACAGACCAATCTTCCTCATGAACATTGATGCAAAAATACTCAATAAAATATTGACAGACTCCAAGAACACATCAAAACAGTTACCCATCATTATCAAGTAGGCTTCATCCCAGAGATTCAAGAGTGGTTCAACATATAAAATTTAGTCAATGTAATACACCATATAAACAAACTGAAAGAAAAAAACCACATGATCATTTCATGAGATGTTGAAAAGGCATTTGACAAAATCCTACACCCCTTTATGATAAAAGTCTTGGAAACATCAGGAATACAGGGAACATACCTAAACATAATTAAGGCAATTTACAGCAAGCCCACAGCCAACATCAAATTAAATGGAGAGAAACTCAAAGTGATTCCATTAAAATCAGGAACAAAACAAGGCTGTCTGCTCTCCCCATATTTATCCAATATAGTACTTGAGGTTGTAGCTAGAGCAATAAGACAGCAAAAAGAGATAAAGGCAATACAAATTAGAAAGGAAGAAATCAAACTTTCACTATTTGCAGATGACATGTTAGTATACATAAGTGACCCCAAAAATTTGACCAAGGAGCTCTTATAGCTGATAAACACCTTCAATAACATGGCAGGATACAAGATTAACTCAAAAAAATCAGTAGCCCTCCTATATACAACTGGCAAAAAGGCTGAGAAGGTAATCAGAGATACATCACCATTTACAATAGCCACAAATGATACAAAATACCTTGGGGTAACTCTAAGCAAGCAAAGGACCTGTATGACAAGAACTTTAAGTCCCTGAAGAAAGAAATTGAAGATGTCACAAAATGGAAAGATCTCCCATGCTCATGGATAGGTAGGATTAACATAGTAAAAATGGCAATCTTGCCAAAAGCAATCTATAAATTCAAGGCAATCTCTGTCAAAATCCCAACACAATTCTTCACAGACCTGGAAAGAACAATCCTCAACTTCATTTGGAAAAACAAAAACCCACAATAGCCAAAAGAATCCTATATAATAAAACAACCTCTGGAGGCATCTCGATACCTGACTTCAAGCTCTAATATAGAGCTACAGTAATAAAAACAGCTTGGTACTGGCATAAAAACCTATATGTGACCCAATGGAATCGAATTGAAGACGCTGACATTAATTTGCACATGTATGAACACCTCATTTTTGACCAAGAAGCCAAAACTGTACAATGGAAAAAAGAAAGCATCTTCAACAAATGGTGCTGGCATAACTGGATGTCAACATGTAGATGATTGCAAATATTTCTGTATCTGTCACTGCACACAAAACTTTAGTCCA